TTATTACAGATTTACGTAGAAAATTTAAGGTTAACGAGTTTTGGAGCACTCGCATGGAAGACGTATTAATGTCAAATCGGCGTTACATCGCCGAACAGCCTTAAGCGGAAAAAATCTCATCGGTATAGCTGAGGTAATTTATACAGTCGAGTCGTCGAAGCGAGTCTGCTCGCGCGCGATTTCTCTCTTATTAATCTCCACCGTTTACACCTTGGAATTCAACGATTCAGCGGAGCCGATTGCTCAACCCGTGTACACCTATATACCGGAGTCGCGACGCGCGACGCCGGCCATCCGAGACGATCTATTGACCGATTCCCTCTCGATAGATCCAATCCGCGAACCACGGAAGAGGATTTCTGCGCGAACGATTCTGTAACGACCGATTACGCCCCGTTCGGTATCCGTTGGCTCCCTTACGCGTTGTAATTCCATTCATCGTTCGTTACATCGGTTCGGTATAGTTGGACGGGCATCTGTTATGTAGGGAACAAGCATTGTCGGGAAACCATCGGATTTTGCGGAACTTGTTTTCAGATTTTTTTATATTTTTGTATTTTAAAAGTAGAAAATAAAATACGAAATAGAAAACGTATGGAGAGTATGAAATATATAAATATATATTAGTATCAATCCGATTATATTAATCGTAAGTTGTTTAAAAAAATACAAATTCATTCTTTGATCTCTTTACATACAAATTTATTTAAAAACCACGGTAATTATTTGTCAAAATAAAGACTATCAAGTTCATATTCGCGTCACCAGTCTATTTATAGATGCCAGATTTGGTCTCGGTATTATTCTTCTAGACGGCGTCGAGATCCTATCACATCCGGCATACAATTTAACAGACCTATTTAATTCTGTAACTCTCAACAACGATTTTGTTATCGTCATAATGTTGTGCGGATATAATAGAATATAATGCTTAAAAAAGGCTTGCAACAGTGATAAAACTGTCGTAAGAGTTACAGAAAAAGCCAGCTGATGTTGTATTGTTTGACTACGTCTGTTTCGCTCAATGAAACATTTCTTGCAAGGACGACAATTCGAAACAGTTGATCAAGTTGAGACAGCTTGTCGTGAGTTCTTTGCGTCTAATGGTATCGAGACCAGGTAGTTAGTAAACTGGTGACGAATGGTTATATTGAACATAGTGGACTCTATTGTATTTTGGGAGATAATTGTCGTGTTTCTGAATAAATTTGTTTATGAAAACCATGTTTGTATGTAAAAACTGAAGGGTATTTTTTTACCATATCCATTAAGCAATAATCGCGATATTTGTTTTCCTTCTTTTCCTTTTTGTCGAAAAGTCGTTCCTTAAATTTTATTTATTAACTTTTTTTTTAATGCACGTATATAAGTATATTTTTAGATTTTGTAAGATTTTCTCGATGCTTCTTATTATGTGCTCTTCGAGATATTGTAATATTCTGCGTTTCCACAAAGAGTAATCACAGTCGTCGTAACGTTTTCTTTTCACTGTTGTTCCTTGGTTATTCATGCGTTCCTAATAGCTCGTAGCATTGCGCAGTCACTGCGATTTTCTTCACGAGTCATGGCCGATAAATGATTTTTGCGTGTTACTCTGTTATCCGAAAGACCGAGCGCAGTTCGAGAGGACAACGATGGACCGATCGCGGAGCCTTGAACGAGGGAGCGATCGCGTCGGTCGATCGATTGATTTTTTCGTCACGGCGTCTGGTTGCATCGCTACTGCCCGTTGCAGGTGGAAGCGACTCTTTGCTCTGACCCGAAGCTTCTCAGAAATTCTCTCCAGTCATCGAGACGAATTCCACCGAAATGCGGGACGGACGATTAATGGCTTTATACGTTCCTTAAAATCTCCGCCGCGTCACAGATTAATTTGTGTTTTTTTCCTTTTGCTCCGCCGGTTTCGAAATTGAACCGTGTCATCGTGCTTTAATCATTCGACGAGAGGTTCGCACGAGTAAAGAGTCACAAAACAGAGTCCCCTTTTCTTAAGAATTCCATTTGTGCTTGTGGAGCTAATAAGTGCCTTACGTGAACGTGTTCGTGTATTATTGCATAATCAAGATGTCGTATTTCCCGTATAAATATTGGCTTTGGCAAAAATAAAAGTTAAAATGCATGTTGAATGTAAGGAGAGAATAACGAAGTTCTTCTAGGAAAAATTGGAACAAATACAAAAGTTTTATATTTCATTGTCTCAGTTTTTGCTTCCTATATGGTAAGAATAATTTTGCTAAAAGATTTTAAATTTTGCTGGATACAGTGTTTTGAAAATAATTTTATTGGATCATCAAAATAATTATGTTGAAAATAAAAAGTAATAAGCAATGCTATAAAAAATTTTGATTCTCTATAATAATCAGTTTAAGTTTTTAATAAAAATTTTTTTTTGATAGTCTCTAAAATTTTTCAGATCTGTGCAAAATTTTAGGTCTTTTAGCAAAATCATACTTTCCGTATAAGAAGCTTCGTTTACGCTTCTGCCATTCTCCTCTTGCATTTGATTTACGCTACGTTTTTTATTTTCAGAATGCCTATCATAATCATTGGTTTTTCGAGAACTGTAATGCGTTCTCAGAGCTGGAGATTAGAGATGACATTTCAGTATAGTTGAGGGCACATTCCATGCTTGAATAGCAATAATAATATAATCTAACTATAAATATCTGTTATCAATAATGTAGTGATACGGTTTCTCGAAAAATCATCGGTCACGAATATCACGATATGCGGATGTTTAGACGAATATATATCCGGTTATTCGCGCCATTCATGCGTTAATTTATGACTTTGAAATAAGGAGAAAATAAGGAGAAAATTAATGATGTGAGCTAATATTTTCACTAGAAAATTTATAATTTCATTGGTTAACATCGAGTAAATTTACTCACTTTTGTAATTTTTATCTTGTTTCGAAGTATATACAATCAACCCCTAAGGGTGCGTTTCAAAATATAACTATACAATAACTAACACTCCTTTAAATTCTTCGAAATAGAATTTTATTCTAAAACGTGAAAATTTTTCATACAGCATAGATCTCCAAGACACGTCCTAAAGATGTTTGAAAGGTGTCTCTACGTGCTAAAAGCGTTCCTTGAACGTCCATTGTATGAATAAGTGTGTTGTATGGACTGAGTCAGTCTTGAAAAAGAATGACTCGATTTTCAATTTTTAAGAGTGAGGTACATTCTAGAAGTTTCAGAGAGTTTTTACATCACGTTAAATATATTATAGAATTTTGGTTAGTTACATTTTGGAATCGCTCAAAAGTGACTTCGCTTTCGGGCTGTAAAAAGGTGGGAGAACCGGCGTGATCTGTGCATGGGAGACGAAAGAACGGAAAAAGGGACACATCGATCGGGAAGTAGGTGGACGTGGTGTGGAAAATAAAAACGAGATAGGCGCAGCGTTACACGTGAAATGCACGGGTCATAAAAAATCCGAAGCGCAGGTATAAACCGGCCGATCTACAAGTCCGCGCACGAGGTCGATCCTAATCTCGCGCTGCTCGCATGGCAGTCCAACGCACGGAAAACCAAAAAGATACCGTCAAGAAGAGGAGAGCGGGGACCCGCTAAATTGCCGGGATTCGTTAGAAAATCGCCGGTATGCGGTGCCTCACGCATCCAGGGTGGGAAGGGGGGACCCAGGGAAGATATTAGAGCCTCGCAGGAATTTCGAGTACATCGCCCGCGGCATCAAGATTTCTCAACCCTCTCGGCTCTCGTTCGCCATGAGAATCGGTAAGAATTCACGGTAAATTCGAAAATCATGTTGATACCAGCGATGCCCGCCACGCCGATCGCAATAATCCAGGACAAGTTATTTATTCACGAATAGTGCGTTTGATTGATTTTCTCCGCGACTTCTTGTGATTTCAAAGCGATTTCGATTTTTTATAAATTTGATTCGAAGTGATTTCGAACGATTTCGTACGCTCTCAAGTTTTCATTTTATGTTTAATTTTCCATTTGACATTATTAACTACGTAACTTCAATGTATTTCTTAAAGATTTGATGTTGAAATGACTTGAACTGAATAGTTTTTATTTAACTTGATTTCAAATTGATTTCAACGATGAATGCTTGACTGATCGCGTGAGTGAATAGTCCCTCGATCGAGGATTTCTGTAATATAAATGTTCCCATTTGTTCTCCTTGTGTTTTGAAGGCCACTCGTTTCCTCCGCTACCATTTTTGGACGCCTATCATAAACGTCGTACTGCTGCCTGGTACTTCATTGTTGATTCATGCTTTACACCGACGTTTTTATTTCCGCCGCCGTTCTATAAGAGACACATTCGTCGCAGGCGACTGACAATAAAAAGATACGAGAAACGTCGTTCCACCGTACGTAGCTTACGAGGTAATTAATAGAAACGAGAGTTTAGCTCGTTCGCTCGTCCATAAACTGCGACGGAATGTCACAAAAGAGAAAGAGGGAGAGAGAGCGAGATAGAGACCGAATGACGCATAAATTTCACGTTGTGCCGCCGCAAGTTGCATATACGCACCCTCACGCGAGGATCCCGCGAATCTTGCAACGCTGTCGCATGGTTCGAGTTAATGATCTCGGTAATTGAATAAATGCGGAAGGCAATTAGTTGCGGCGCCGAGACGCGCTTTAATGAGCTGCTGTCTAAATCACCGCGCTCGACTTACTGCAAATTTAATCTAGAGTTAATCGGCATTTAATTTAAATACTCGCCTCGCGTAACTAACAGACTTATGTTTCTCATCAGTCGCACCCATCAGACGCTCGATCTAACTTCGCGTTAATTCGCAATATTCGGCCGTCCGCGGTCTAATTAGATTCGCCGATAACTTGGAGGTCACGTGTACCGAGAGATGTAGCCACGCAATTTTTATTCAATCCACTGTCAAACAAAGCAGAATTTATTACGCTTAACTCAGAATGAATATTGTGTACCTCTTTGTACAACTGTAACGAACAAAGCGCGTACACGTGGTAACAAATGCAAGGTTTAAAGTTGGAAAAACAACAAAAAGAGAATTGCAACGCTGTGGTATTGTATTAGAAAGCAATATCATTGTCACGGTTTTATTTTTTCTTGAATCTGGCTTTCTTTGCCGCCACCGCGGTGTTGGGTGACTTTGGGTTAGCTTGATTTTTGTGTTTCTTGCTTTCGACGTGCTGAGCGAACGTGGTCTCCGAGTTTAACGATAGATTGCATGGTGCGCAGTAATACTGTCCTGCGAAACGAAAAGCAATTGCACCAGCATTAGTTATAAAAAAAACGATGTTTCTTTCCTAATCTTTATATACCGTAATGATTTTTTTACCTGATGGTGTCCGATAAATAGAATAATCTATAGGTTCCGCGATGCTAGACGTGTTCTCGTTTTCAACTGCTGAAACAAAAACGTGAAAATTATTAGTAAGTTAATACGACTGTATATATATACATATATATAAATATGATGTTTATTTTGTTGGCCTACCAGGTTCAGGTATAGGGAGTCCATTGAGCCTGAGCATCTTAAAGTGTCGGGCTCCACGTTTGTGTGTTTCCAACTGATCCTGACGATTAGCTGAGACTCCGCATAAATCGCAACGCAATGGCGTAGGGTACGGTGGTGACGTGTACAATGATGGTACCGCAGCTGGATTCGGCACAGTAGCTATACTATCAGATACAATCGGTGTCACAACCGGGGCGGATTGCATGTCCGTCTGAAAGGCCATTCCAATTCCGAAGCGACCTGTCGAATCCACTTGACTATATTGGTTTTGACTTGACAGCTTCTTTGATGGCCTGTGGATGGCAACTGTCTTATTATTATTACGACAAAAGTAATTGAACTCGATCGTTATGCTTGTTACGCTTGTTACTAAATAAATTAAAATAAAAAAAATCATTACGCTACCGTATCGCTAAGTAAGTATTATTAAAGAGCTTGAATGCAGCTTCGTACCTCGCGCGAGGTCCGCCGTTCGCCGCCCTAATGTGCTTTTTGCCCGCGTAGTGTTGCGTGGCATCAGTTTGCGACGTAAACCACGTTTTGCATATCTAGCAATGTAGATTGTATGCGAGGTACATTAATATGCGATTTACGTATGTAAATACATAACTGTAGACGAAACATTGTAGGCCTCTTACATCACAGTAGTTTTGCCAGTCGTTATTGGTCGTACTGCTCACTTGGCCGTCTTCCGTTTTCTGTTTTTTAACGCTCTGATTGAGAAACATCGATACTTTTTTCTGATGCGGTTTGCCGTCATAGTGTAGTTTCGCTTGTAACGTAGAGTTCATCTGCAAAATACGATATAGCCTCGTCGATATATAATGTTAATAATTTTATCGACACGAGATCTACGGTCACAGAATTAGTCTCGAAATAAAACTGAATTATAATAAAGAAAACTCTCTAATTTTTCGATTATCAACTGGGTCTTACGACTGCATTGCACAGATCACATTTGAGCGGTTTCATCAACGCTGATAATTCCCTCTGTGCGCTCGCCACTTTCTCTGAGAAATATATACATAGAAATTACACACATTAATAGTTTATTTTTCATTATTTTCAATTTAAAAAATTCTCTAATTACCTGCGTCCTGTGCTGGATCTATAAACTCGTTTTTGCGTTTGTAAAAGTTTTTGCTCTTGTTCTTTATTGTTCCTACTGCGGGAGATGCTACTGGCGCAGTAGCTGAACCCTTGTAAGTCGGATCATACCATGGGGTATAAATTTCCGAAATATCACTATCGGTCGGTATCCACCACGGAGGCTGGGTTGACTGCTGTCCAGGAGTTTGCGGTTGCATTGTTGGATGTAACATGTATGGACTTGGTGGAATGGAGTTCGCCGGGAACGTTCCATCAGTCGCAACCGCCACCGGGGTGACTATCATCATGTTCTCGCTTGTTGCCGGTTGCGTCGTTGTTGATTGTGCATTGCTGTTTGAGGATTTGTTTGCAGAAGATAGCGGTGGCGGTGGCGGAGGAGGCGGTGGTGGCGGTGGCGGCGGTGGCGGAGGTGGTGGCAGAAAGCTTTCGAGTCCTGTTACGAGAGAGAGAAGATGGTAAATCAAAATTTCTAAGTCATCTTTGTGCTTATAAAAGAGAAAGAAGGGGATCTTCGACCGGTATACAGTGATATCTATATTTTTTTCATTTTAGGACGCACAGGAATTTGTAAAAAGAATCGAAACTTACAAATCATGTGACACCCCGCAGTTTCACAGCGGGTAATTTATGACATCATTGTCATTCTTATATTGTGAAAACATTTTTTAGTGTCCTACAACTTGGTCAACTTAATTATTAATTCTGCAGCGATACGCATGTTTATAATTTGTATTCTATTTGTGTATCTATATACTTATTTTTGTCAACTAATACCACATTTTTTACTGTTATAACTTAATTGTAAAGTATTGTGAGATGACGAACAAAGAGAGACTAAAAGGAGCTTCTTTAACTTTCGTCATTGGTGTTGGACATGTTTATTAGCGTTCGGATTTACAGTGTGTTATTTTTATCATCAAAACCCTACCGATTCGTCAAAATTTCACAGCGCAGCGACCTATGAAATTTACAATCGTGATAATGATCGTGGACTGATGATACGCTTTCGGCAAGAAACATATAGATAAGTCAGACGGCGCCGTTAAAAGGAGATGCCTATCGCGCTCTTACAATTTATAGAGGAATCGTATTTAATTGCACGCGCACGCTATATAAACGTCGCGTTAATTCGCGCGGCTGGCTGATGCAAAGACCTACGACATTATGCGATAATACATCTCACGCCCAGACAGCAGCGATACATATTTAGCTTATCACACGTTGTTGCGCTGCAGTGCTGACGTAATTTATTTTAACATCCGTTTTACGTATGTAGCAGCTCCGTGTCATCAGTGTTACTCACACAAACATAGTATTCATAATCAAGTCTTATTTCAAGGTAAGTTCTTATCACAAGTATGCGTGAAGATGTTATATATGATTTTGTAATGGACTCGTGATATCTTAAGATTGTAATTAAATGATTTTAAATATAAAAATCGACTATACTGATAAAAATTTTTCTAAATTTTTGTACATTTTTCAAAAATATTGAAAAGTTTATATTCTGTGAATTTTTCATATAAGTGAATTTTGAAATATTAAAATTTCATATTTTCTAAATTTCCGTATTTCTAAAAACATAACAAACTTTTTCAAATTCTATAATATTTTATTAACAATCGTATAGAATGCAAAATTTTATAATTAGAATATTTTAGAATTCACATATACGAAAATTTCTAGAAAATATATAGTTTTTCTTAGTTCTTCTGAAAAATTTCGAATTTGTATAAAAAATTAGAGAAAATTAAAAAATATATATATAAAATTATTCAAAAATTCTGAAAAATTTTTTAATTTATATAAAAATTTTTATATCAAGATAAATATACTAGTCATATAAACAAACTTAAACTTGTATCACACTATGCATTAGAAATTAAAGATTACAATTGGAGATTAGAATTTAATCAATCAAAATGAATTCTAATTAAAAATTTTAATCTCCAATGCATAATGTAACATGGGCTTTAGCCTCATTTCTTTATCAATATATATTAACTTAATCTTGGTTTAACTTATTCATCTTTTTCTATAAATTCTTAAAGCTAGAAAAGGATAAAGAGTAGGTCAAACCGAGATTAAAGTTTAATCTACATATAGTAGAAATAGATATTATGTGATCATACTGATTATGTAATCAGTATACAAATTCTGTTCATGACAAAATATGTTGATCATATTTGCTTTAGGAATATTTTACTTTGAGAGAATCAAGTGTTTTTTATTAAAAAAAAAAACTGACAAACTATTCCACGGTTAATAATTAGAAAATTACATAATTTCAAACATTATAACACAATATTTTGAATATCAGTATTGTGATTTCGTTTATACATATATTTGCACTTGATATTACCTTCGGTTTGTTTTTTTTTTTTTTCTTTACAAAAACATGCTCCAAAGTCAAAATATCAACCGAATACTCATTTTACAGAATCAACAAAACGGTCGTAAATACAGTTTAAATTTCGTTCGAGCATAATAGAAAACCAAGTGATAGATTAGATCTGCCATAACGTAGCATTAAGCGATCGCATGTACATTGCGTGACCCATGTACTCTTTGACGTGCGGTGCTCATCACAATTTACTCGTCAACATACACACATACATGATAATTGTCTCGTCCGGCGAGTCACGATCCAGCGGTTTCGGAGCTTCAAATAATGCCGATTACAACAGAGATCGTGCGCTAATTGAGATAATCTTTCAAATCTACGGAACCACGTCCCGAGAATCGACGAAACATCCCCAGTAATTACTTCCTTCTTTTATTTTTAGCATCGGATCCGCGTTGTCGTTACAGATTGCACGTTGTTGCAAATAAGCGAACGAATTTGTCGTTGCGAGGGGAAAAGATCGTTTCGAGGGTGACACATGACTCACCTGGCACTTCTGGATTCTCTATGACTTTGGTGCTGGACATTTTCCTGCCTCTGCGAAGATTATATTCCAACCCGTTATATCGTTTCTGTCGAGCTCGACGGAGGATCTTCGCTGCGGCTCACGTGGAGGTCGCGATTCCGCGCCACTGCTTCCTCCTCGTCGTCGTCGTCCTCGTCGTATCCGTTGATGTCGTTTCGTGCGCGTCACCGTTCCTCGTCGCGTAACGGCACGTAACGTCACACCGGACACACTGTGTCTCGCACGTCGACATCGACTGTCGCTTGTCCAGAGCAAAAAGTTTGGTGAGGTTAATTCAGCGAGTTTGACACAAGCCACGAGCCGACGACATTACGCGAACGCGTGATATCGACCCACGACGCAAGATGGCTGCACGCATCGTGCATCGTCATGTATGCCGCGCGGAATCGCCGGGATCGAGACTCTGTTCCAAGTGCTCCATGCAATTATTCCAAAGTCCGAGTGCTTCGACGACCTGACTGCCCGTTGCGTATGATGGTGAAGAAGGTTCGATTTTGCTGACTGGTACGGTTAACCACCCACAAGTTCACCAGTTCATCAGAACGATGGACGACGAAATAGACGACGAGCTGCTCCAGGGTTTCGAGGAGAAAATCGCCAGTGGCTACAGCATGATTGGGCGGTTAAAGCTCATGGATAAGATCGATGGGATTGATAAATTGATACGGAAGATTCAGCAAGAGATAAAATTTCTGGAGAAGGTAAAAGAGATACTAATTAAATTTCGTGTAGAAATCATGGGAGAGAACATGGATGATTTCTAACAATTAAAGACACACCTGACTGAGCTGACACAGAGTAACAGTGAATCCTTATTATTTGATAACGTTAAATAAAGATGAAATGATCATTACAGCTTGGTTTTATCAATATCAAAATTAACTTTAATATATCTTAGTTCAATTTATTCTATACTTTTTTTTAATTCTTAAAATTCTCATTTAAAAAATTGGGAAAAGTTAGCCTCACATTTGTGAAAACTTTATCTTTCTAAAAATTAGAAAGATTTCAATAATTGTAAGATTAACTTCAATCTTGAAAGAAAAAGATAAACAGTAAGTTAAATCGAAATTAAAGTTAACCTCAAATTAAAATTAATTGATAGAATCTAGGACTGTTCGTTTTAGTCAAACTTCTTGTACGATTCAACTTTCCTCATTTTCTTTTCACTGAATAGAAAAATAATAGATGAACTATGTACACATTTAGCTAAAAAGAAATCTCTTCTTATATCTCTTGAAATGTATCTTGTGTCTCTTGTTAGAAAGCACCAGAATGTTTCTAACGAATCTATTGCAATCTGGAGTAATAGTTTCACAGTTAGGAATTAATTTTTCTCCATCTGGCAGAGTAGATTTTCAGCATGACAAATTAACAGATTAATAACTTGATGCTTTTCTTACAAAGGTACAATGTATGGGAAACTTGAAGAAAAAACATCTTCAAAGCTCGAATCTGACTCATCTCGATGCTATGGTGGCTCGATTATCCTATGCAAAGGATCCCATCAGTGTAATGAGACCATTCAAGTATCAGAAATCACGTCTGGAAGTTGATATAGTATGTAATAATGGCGCTTCATGGGTGAAGATTATAGCAAGAAACGCTAAAGCATTAACTCTGATATCTCTTGGCAATGGAGAATACGGACAGAAATCTGTTTTGGACCAAGCCAATTCGTACCTTGTATGTAGCAAGTGTCATCTGCATCATTATAGACCACCAGATGTGATATTTCATTTTGCTTATGGCGTAGAGATTCCGCTGGCCTTGCAATTGGAGCAAATGGGTATTATAGTGGAAGGAGATAGGATAGATACAAACGACGAGAACTTAAACAGTCAGTACAATTTATCTCTGATAAATGTTTAAAGAAAATCAACTATGTATATTGTGTATATATATATATATATATATATATCATATAAAAATAATTTGTATACTTATTGTTTAATGTTTTTTTTTGGAGGTAGAACAAGATGAACTGGATTTCTCCAAAGGATCTACAAGCAATTCTGAAAAGGATTTAGATGTGGATTTTCAATCGTTAAATACGTCTGTATTGTCAACTGAAATCAAACTTTTAAATCTCGATGTATCGGCACTTTTGGCTTATGTTACGAATATGGCTAATGGATATAATAATTACGTTTATCGGGAACCATTACTTACGCAACAAGCAGAAATGGAAAGAAAACGTCCCATAAAACCGATTCTAGAAAATTTGTTTCGGGACAAAGAACTTATAATCTGCCGGACAGCATATAACAATTTTATGAATATCATCGATGTTATCGGTGGTCCGAATGAAACGCAGCGTGCGCAAGAATTATTAAAGAGAGTCCGAATCGTTGACGATGTTACCACTGGTCGGATTATGGAGCTCCGCTTGGGCGGTAAAATTAAAGATCGATCGCGATTGATTTTTGCAACGGGCGAAAGTATGAAAAGCATTACAGTTTCTGCTAATGAAGGGTTTGTAAGAGCGGCACGCATGCAGGTGAATATATTCAGCATATAAAATTGTTTTACTGTTCATTGATATATAATGTGAGCAATATTATAGATATTATATTTTTTTCAGGGCATTGAGTGTACAGTTTTCTTACATGAACCACGATCTCTATCAGAAGTTAAAGAAGGTAACGCAACAAGTATAGAGTTATCTTGATATTATTCAGAATATCTAGGCAATCATAAAAAAAATATATACTAGTATTAAGCATTTCTATTTTGTTAATTTATTGTATTAATTTATATATTTATATTCTACAGTATAAGACGATATTTATATGTTATTTCTGAAGAAGCTACTGTATTTCATCATTGATTATCTGAACGTTGAATTTGTTAAATTGAAGCTCCATATTTTCTTGAAATTCTGCAAAATATAAAATAAATTGTTATTACATAAAAAGCAATGTGTAAGATTACAATATTTAATAATACCATCGATAAATTTGTTGAAATGAGGATTTCTTTCTTTGGCCATCTGTATACATTCTTTACTCTTCTCCCTGTTTCTGAGATACATGTAACATTTAGCGCTGTTCAAGAGAGCTTTTAAGTTTGACTCGTTCAGTTTTAACGTCCACTCGCAGTCGTGCAAGGCTTTTTCGAATAATCCGAGATTCATATGTGACAACGCGCGATTATTCCACAATACAGAAGAGTCTTTACGTTGTTCTAATGCTTTGCTGTAATAAGTCACGGCCTTCTCGTAATCGCCTTCTTTAAATGCACCGTTTGCGATTCTCTTCAACGTTTCCGCCCGTTCATTTCTAATTTTACGTTCTTCAGCTCGTTTTTTAGCATCGTTTTCTACACTCTTCATGAATACCTCTGTTTATTATAAATCGCATAATTTATAATTTATCGTTGAATAGACAAAACAATAAAATAATATGTATATAAATGTACCTTGCGACATTTTGTTTGGATCATTTGAATCATGTTCCTTTGACGGATATTTATTAATTACTGATCTATCAGTTTTAACTTTTACCTCGCCGTCTCCATAGACTTCTTTTTGAACACTTTGTTTTAACATTTCATCAGCTAACTTTTTCCCGCATTCTTGCTCTTGTTGATCGGAAGATGATAAATTTTTCACAATTTTTTCTTAAATGAAAAATTTTATTGATACAAGTAAATCTGCGATATAATCACTGTCATACTTACCTACTTCAGTGACACGATGCATGAAATTTTGAAACTCTTCTTCTGTTACATTTCTATCAGGGTTTAAATTATTAACAATATGATTTCCCTGTTCGATTTTATCACAATTTATTTTATTCTTCTTATTCATATCCATTCTTTATGTAAAATCGTAGGAACAATTGCAAAAACATTTGCGCTATAAGGAAAAGCGTCACATTTGCTTCCAAGGAAACCGCTATATAACAGAATTGCTCAGAGTTGCTATGGTTTGTTACGCTACATATCTACTATGGCTGCTTTCTTTTTAACACAATTGGCACTTCTGACAAAGTCAACAACGTCGTTTTCCATTTATAATTTTTTTTTTAATTTAATCACGCTTCGATTATGTTGGGAAAGAGAGTCGGGGTGTGTTTAAATGTTATTTTGAGCGCATACATCAGAACGCATCCGCAAATCAATTTAATCCATTCGTAATACACAAAGGTACTTTCCAGCAAGAGACACAGTGATTCAGTAGGTCTATTTGCATTGCTTGCACTTAACATCTTCGTTCTCTCTTTTTTCAACATTTGAATATATATCCTGTTTTAAAGACAAACATTTTTGGGGATTTCAAGCGATAAATCTATAATATTTTTGCCAATGTTAAACAAAGATGAAATAATCACTGTGTTACACCGTGTATTTTACTGGAAAATAATTTGAAAAACACATCAATTGAGAAATCTTGAGCTAAGAGTGGAAGCACAGAGTTTTGCGTAACAAAAAATAATACATAAGGCATAATAAAATCAACCAGAATCTTTTATTTCAGACATAGAATTATTATGACAATAGATTAATGAAGGATTTTTTATTTGTTCAGTTTCTATTATATGTTAAGCAAAAATCTGTGCTCTGGCCTTCATTATATATTTTGTAAAGTTAAGTATTAAAAATTCGCACACACTGGTCGCACTTGGTGGTCTATTCAATTATAGCAAACTATTCAAGTGTTAATTTGTGTCGATTTCTGTCTCTTAAAAAGGAAGCAGCCTGTTATATTATGTATATGTAAATCGTTCTTAAGATCAGTTCCATCTTCAGATAAATGACAACTATGTGAAAATTCATCTAATGAATAGAAGAAATAGCGAAAGGCAGAGAAAACGAGAGTACAATGCAAGTGAGTTGAAATGTATCAAAAAGTGAAACTCAGTCATAATGTATCTATTATCAAATTATCACATAAACAAAATACATACTACATAAATAATGATAATGTTGAGTGTACATGTAGATTTTAAAATGAATTACGATTTACAGTTTTATTATAAAATAGCAAGATTATGCAACATAAACATTGAGGGAACAATGATTAAAGATGATTAGTTACTGTATAACAGTTTAGAATTTCAAATGTCATGTATATGAATATGAAAGTGTAATACGTGAGAACATGTAATGATACTTGTATACTCTTTAAGAATTAATGAATCTTAACCACATTAACTGTTTGAATCTTTTCTAGGAGAGAACTCCTTATGATGAGTATTCTTATTTAATGAATGGACTAATATTTGAGGATAAAACTGTTGCGTGGTTTTACTGCTTTCCAAATTCTCAATGTCAATTTCGTCAACTTCTAAAGGATCCATGTCAACATCGTCTTCCACATCTGAAGATATTTCGATCTCATCCTTTATGTAAACTGTACTTAAATTACTATCTTCACTCAAAATTTTCATGATTTTTCTTCTGTCTAAAGGTTCGTTTATTTTGTTGTCTGATGAAGAAGTAAATGGTTTTCCCGCTGTGATCTCTACTTCGTCCATAATACAACGCACTTTCTGGAAAGATAACGGTTTGTTTGTTATTGTGGATAACACACTTGGCCAACTGATCTCGGGATGCGGCGCAAAATCTTTTCTCTTTCGCAGCATCGGGGACATTCTTCGCACTCCTTTACTTGTACTTGGTTCGTTAATATCTATAATACTGATACCGGAATTGCTGGTCTCTAATCGTTGACACAACTCGCTTATGTTAATCTCTTCGTTCTTGGATGTTTCCTGAGAAACTTTGGCTGTAGTTTTGTAAGCGCTCGTCTTCGGAACAAACCTGGTCTGCGGAGTCGTTTTACTCTGTATTTTTACGCTTGTCTCGTGTTCTGAGCTGACACTGCTTCTACCAGGTGAGGTCTTGACTTCCTCCAGTTTCAATCGCGACACCGTCGTCTTCTTCGCGTCGTAGTGCTCCTTGTTATTGGCAACTTCAGACAGCAATGATGGTGGGATGTGTCGAAGCCCGGTGACTTCCAAGGTCTCGGCGAGCTTGAGCAGCCTCCTAACCTCGCTCTGAACTACCTGTATCTCGCCACAATACATGAAATTCACGAGAGTCTTGAGATCGTCGGCCTCGATATCGTGCAGAACGATCATCGGATGCGGATGTTCGTTGGCCAGGAGCAATTTGCGGAAGAAGGAGCTCGAATTGGCCAGGACCATCTTGTGACATTTGAGGATCGTACCATCCTTACAGGCCAGGGAGAGATCGACGAAATGCTGTTTCTCATAACAAGTGTCGAGCGAGCCTACCATGTGCGCCGGAAAGCTCTGCCATTTGAAGCTCAGCACAGAATCCTCCTTCATTGTTACGCTTTTAAGTCAACTCTTCAAGTCAGAGATCTCGTAAGCAGGCGACGCGGAGTGTTCGTTTATTAGCGGCGTTTAACAACAGTACTCGCCATGATAATGATACCACGTGCCGCTGTTGTCGTGTTGGTCGTGCATTGTCGTCAGACGACGTCACGACGAAGCCATTCAAAGATGGGTATGGAGATATCGGAGTTGGGGATGAGACGACAATGTTAGATTGTAGGAGTGAATTTTTCCAGCGGGACTTTTCGTACGCATGCGTGAGCACATCACTGGCTGCCGTACGAAATCACGTGATAATTTCCTCCATTTTCCCGTTCCATTTTTGACAGATTCGTATTTAGCGGCGTGCACTGCTTTCAAGCTTCTCAAATCCATATAAATATATGTACGGATATTAACTTTTAAGTGTATTAAACATCCTCATTTTATCTCTATAATTATATTATTTTATATAATAACATTTATAGAGTTAAATTTACATATTCTATGAAACAGAGTAATGTAGTGAACTTTTTATAAGACTTTTATAAGCAACACTTTTTTTTCCTCTTTCAGAACAAGAGTTATTTTTAAGATAATTATATGTGGCCACTTATTTAATTTTTATATTAATTGTCATCAAGTTATAATATTAAGTCTAATCACAAAACCAAGAAATTACAAATCTTGCTCAATTTAATTTAACTATATATTAAAATAGCCATTAAATCATAACCAGAAAAACATAAATTTTACATTATCATGAAATTAAGTGGACTATTTATATATGTAAATTAATAAAAAATGAATGCATTCAGAGAGATGCTAGTGCTATTTGTGCCATTTTATCTTTATTTTACGTTTAGTGAACGTTAAAAATGGAACGAGGAGCACAAGAATTTCGAAATTCCCGCAAATTTCGGAGCGTTCGGCTCGAGATATCGAAGCGTCGAAAGTCGCGAGGTCTCGATCGTGAGGTCTCGATCGCTAACAGGGGCGACTTCTCGACGGTCCAATTGGCTTCGATAATTGCAAATGGTCGTTTAATAACAGATGATTGAACGCGGCGCGCGGCGTGGCATTTATCTGTCAAAAGCGGTGGCGGTCGGCCGACGAACGTTGTGATGCGCCGCCGGCTGATGCGCGTCTGTTGAACCGGCGAGGCGTGGATCCGTGAACGCTTCAAGAGGACGAAGCTCCTACTTTTCCCGGCTCCGGCAACGACGACGGCGGGCGACGGGGACGACGACACGACGGCGGCGACGACGCGGCGGGAGCGAGAGAGCGACAGAGACGGCGAGACGCGCGAGCGTGCGGAGCGGGCGACCTTTGAATAAACGACGCGTACGTTTATTATTATGTGATTGCGGATTGCGCGCAGGTTCACGGCATAACGAAGCGGACGACCGGAAGAAAGCTCAAGGAAAATGCGGAGCACCGACGTTTTCTGCTTTCTCATCGTGGCGACTCTCGCCGTTCTGTTGACGCTCGGTCGTGCAGGTGAGTACGCACATTGGATTTATTCTCGAGTGTGTAGCACCGGGGCAGAAAGAGAGAGAGGGAGAGAGAGAGAGAGAGAGAGAGAGTGTATATCGTGCCAGGCTTGCTGTCTGGCTGGCAAATTAAAGCCCGAGCGAAATTGGTTCGTCCGAGTCAGCCGCCGCCGCAGTCACCCCAGCTTAACCACAATGGTCTTCTTCCGCTCTTTCTCTCTCTCTCTCTCTCTCTTTCTTTCTCCGTCCGCCTCTCGAGCCCATCGTCGTTCTTTCACGAAATCACGGGTCTGAAAGAGCACCCTCTCGGCTGCTACGCGGAATCGTCCAGATCAACCCGCAACACGTGTGACGCTCTCGTGCGCTCTCGTTCTTGCACTTCCGGCGATTCTCCACGCCGAAGAAGAAGCGTCAAAAGTGCGCTTTTCACGCGGCGTGAAATACAATCCGCCGCAACTTATCTTGGGTACTGTCTAAATTCTTCGGAGTGAAATCTCACTCCCCGCAGTGAAAATTGAGCCAGTCTTGTAAACGAGTGGCTCAATTTTCAATCTTTACCTTAGGAACACATAAAAAGTCAATACAATTAAAACGGCTTGATTTTGATCCTTAACGTCGATAAACAGACGGTGAATAGTAAAATTTTGTAATAAAAAAATCGTAATTTTGACTTTTATGACCTTCTCTCGTACCTGGTGTGTTTCTTGGGTAAGAATGAGATTTCGTTCTCCAGAGACTGAGATTCACTCTAAAAGTTTTAGAGAGTAATAGTTATCGACGTTTTTATCCATTTTACTTTTATACTTTATTTTATTTTAAATACTATAGTCGTGTGATTTTTATGCACGAGATACGACTTTTTGCGTTTTGCTGTATTTCAGGAAATACTACCGGCGATAATTTAACAATATCATGCTCGACGATCTGTGAATAGTACGCGCAATATGATAAAAATGTACAATAAATAATTGTCGAGGATCGCGTTAAAAGGTCTCGAGTATAGCTTCGAAAAACGGAGCTCGATGGAAATTTCGTACTTTCTCTATTGACGTAATCACTGTATTTTTTTGTAGATAAAAACACATTGAAGTAAGGAACAAATTACATCACGCTTCGTGTTGTCTCTGTCTATTGAATGTCAAATAAATATATACAACTCGCGTCTCGACGTCTCCATTGAGATTTTTTTCTTCACTCGCTGATTTATCGTCTCTCGTATTTTTTTTTTACGTTGCATTCAGTTCATTACGAAAGCGAATTTGAAATGCTTAGTGTTGCTAGGGTCCCGCCGTTTTTCCCGGACAATTACGACGTCAAAGCGCGAGGAACTCATTTGCGATAAAACATGTTTCTTTAAGGATATATTTTTTATTTCACCGCGAATTTATGGATCTGTGCATCCATACCGATGTATTTCCTTTTTTTTTTATTGCGTGACATAATCGTCGATTGCTTCGGGGTAGAAATCGAACCGTGACGCAATTAGTCTGTTGGTTTGACGCCTTGTCAGTTTATTACGTTGCAATATTGAATTGCGTGCTTTTTGTTGCTAATTGATGTCTACTGGATATTTTTATCTCTTGGATATTTATATCTCTCTCTTGGATATTTATATATTCGCTCAATTCTTTGGAATGGATTCTTACTGTAAAGAATGAAAATTGAGCTAGTCTTGTAAAAGAGCGGCTTAATTTTCAATCTTTAAAAGTTAGATTCCATTTTACTCTTCAGAGTGAAATTCACTTTAAAAGTTTTGGAGAGTACGTGTCACGTAGATGACAAGTATAATGCCACGAGACATTTATTTTTGCATTTCGTATCATATCGTTTTGAGAAAATCTTGATCGTGGCTTTTTCATTTCGTTATTGTCAACATTTCTTAGATATCTGAAGAAAACGATATCTTTGAATTTCTACATTTTTAATTTTTAGTAGATAGAATAGATGGTTTGAAGATATGAGTACAATTAAGTGATAAGTGAGATATTCAAGAACATTGCAAAAAAATTTAATTTTATAAATCGGCTAAATTAATACATAATAAAATTTATGTACTGTTATAAATAAACCTAATAATATTATGTGATCTCATATTTTGATCTAACATTATGATTTTATATTCGTTTAATATATATGAATTTTATTGTGTGTTAATTTATTGTTAAAGAATCTACTTTAGAGCTTGTAACTAATAAGAAAAAAACCCTTGATTTATTAGTCGATTTTTTTACTAGTATATTACATTATAATTAATACTGCACTGAAAAAGAGTTTGATAATAGCTACCAAATGTTTAATAAAATAATGTTAATTGAATGTTTAGCTGGCGTAATCAAAAATAATTTTACTTTTCTTTAAATATTTTTGATTATATTAACAAAACATTTAATTGACATTCACTAAACTTCATTGGCATTTCACTAAATATTTAGTAACTATTACTAAATTTCTTTTTTAGTGTAGTTACCAACAATAGAGGAAGTAAAAATAATGAATTTCAAAACTTCTGAGGTATCCGAGGAATACGTTTTAGTTTCCTTTTACAGACAAGGTTTTGAAGAAAATTATATCTGGGGTGCCATTCCATCTTATCCCACTTAAAAGCAAACATATCTGAGTGCTGTGACTAGTCGATGATAAAGTTTGTTTATCTCGGGAAATCTATTTTCGCCACGTAGAGATTTTCTGGAAACACCTACGACGATTTATCAGTCACGCAGTCGTATACGGATCCGTCGCAATTGGCTTTACGACATGGATGTTTGACGTTGTTTCATCCACTGTCTATTTTTATTGATCGTATATCTGTGACGATCGTATCGTCGCATCACGGATGAAAACGAGACGGCTGGATGATCCAGCGAGCTCATGCACGCCGTTCCACATTGCAACGACTTTATATTAATTTAAATAACCGGCAGATTATATAAGCACGTGCGCGCGAAGAATTCGTCGAAAAGAAAACCGGCGGAACGATATTTGCGTGAATATCGCATGAATATCGTTTGGAGCGTATTTTAGCATCCTCAGTGGAGGGGCCGAGGAAACGCGCGGTTTCCTCCGCCTACTTCGCTCGTACTTTCATTGCACATTTGTTTATTTGAGAGTTACACGTGTACTGCACGTGGCGGGTCGTCCTTATGTATTCGTATATGATAACGGAATAATATACAGAGTTAATAAAACGGAACACCTTGTATACAATCGTGGGTCGAAAATAAGTTTACTCGGCGATACCCCGCAGTCTCGCCAACGTTTTATGTGTTCCCCTCTCATATCTTCTTCCATCTTCTTCCCTAACCAATTTTCTTAAAAGGATGTTCTATATGTATAAAGTACGTACACTTTAGGAAATCCCAAGTGAAGACTTACGCTGTCTTAAGCGGATATTCACGGCTACATAATAAACAAAAAGAATCAGCGAGGGATACCGTGTTACGCATGCACGTGAAATCCTTCGGTGAATTTATGTTTACGTGGCGAAACTCGGTCGAATGAAATTGGATAGTCGACGCGAAATTGAGCGAAAACACGCGAAGAGTATTTCTGTAGCTTTCTTTTCGAGTAACATTTAGTTTTATGGATATCGTCGTATAATGTGAGTTTTCACTCCGGGAATATTGAATTTATGTCGGAAACTGTTTGATATTTTTTTTATCGCATTTTTAAATTTTCTTGCCGTATCAATCGATATTATTTAAAAATCACAGTAACGATAACAACGAATCAATACTATTACATATCTTCTCTTCACGCACATACGAAATTTGCGGAATTGCACCGATTTCGCAATATCAGAATATTTTATTGATTTTTCAATAATTCAAGATACTAACAGCTGTCTGTATCATATACTATAAATATCAGCAAATGTCAGTTATAGTTCTTCTTAATTTAATGTTGCATCTTTGACATTCTAACGAGCAACATTTTTACTTATTTTCTAAACTAATGCTAATAAAGATTTTATAATAATGTTCATTGCTATTATTATCCTGCAGACGAGAATAATTTAGAACTGCTTTGATCTTATTGTTAGATCGAAAGAATGGTTTTACTGAAATATCTAAAAATTTAGCTAGATATAGATCTGAAAATAATTTGAACGCTTTTAAACGTTTATGACAAATGCTACAAAAAGTTTTAACCTTCTAGCAATTTCAATAACCAGTTGGAGTCGGTCTATGTAATTATCTTAATAGTCTAACGCTAATCTTTTCTGTCTAACTCTTCATCTTCAAATTATCGTATATATAATTTATATTATAAATATTTATACCTTCTGCTTACTATTTACATTAATTTATTAATTCATTATACTGATGAATATATTATTCAGATTAGAGGAATTAAATCAGCATTTACTCGTAGCTTCGTTTTTGTCTGCAATTAATATTATATTATATTTACGTTATATATATGCATGTTATTCGGTATGCTCTTTATTGTTAGCATTCAAATAAATTTATTATTATTATTGTCAATTATTCTTAGATTTGTTATCTAATTAAATTTTTTAATACTTTATAGTAAAATTATTCTTTTTCTGTATAATCGCGATGCTTATTCTCAGATAATTGTTTCGATTTTATATTATCGAAGAGAAGATATATAGTTACATAATCCAGGTGCAATCTTAACCCGCGGTAGAAATGTTCTTTTGAGTGGAATTCTCCTTCGTTTCTGAAATACGATTTAACGACGGATTGCCTGCTGTGAGACTTCATAAAAGTGAGATGAACAGACTCTTTGTTCACTCGAACGATTCGATTTTATGACGTTATCGCGGAAAAGTAATCCGTATTGCATGCCGCGAGAATGCAATGAATGGTTCGAATACGATATCTTGTAACACTGAAATCGTTGAAACTCTGCACCGCCGGCGAATCTGCCGGTCTGAATTACGTGATTATATTCAACGAGCTTTACGATCGGGCGACATAAATTGTCGGCATTGTAAAGTTGTACGTATACAGCCGGAGATGCGTAATGTTAATTTTATTCACGAAGGTAAAATCTTGACACACGAGAAATTTTTTTCAACGTAAAATTTCCTTTACGGCGAGCACACGCTATACTTTATTGACGACAATTTATGTAATGACGTGTACATTTCGTGTGATATTTCAACGAGAAAAGCCACGTAGGAGGACGTTATAGAATTAATACAACACCTATTAATACAGTAGCTATTTAAATCAAAAATAAGTCTCATAATACGCTTGACTCAGCCTCAGTGCGGTTAACCCCTTTATATGCTGTTGATAAAACGAATTCATCTCTATTAACTGATTCAGCCAATCATGCGTCACGCGGGCTCGATGGAGTTACGAAAATGTCATTCATCCTCGTGTCTCTTTGTGTCTTCTGTTCTGTATGAGATAATGAATTGTTAGACGGCGATAACGAGACAGATAAGAAACGTAGCGCGTTCGATTAAGTCTCACATGATGCGCGTAATCATCGATTTATATTTATGTGATGTACATGTCGTATTGTCTTGAATTGTGTGACTTTATCTCTTCAAGAAACTTTATCTCTTGAACAAAGCTTTCGAGTGACACGTAATTCTCTTTATTCAATGCTGAATTTATTTATAACATTTTATTGTGTTTTGAAACAATGAATGTTTTTATAGAATGAATGATTAATTGTTTTAGAATAGACTCTCATAGAGTCATCTGTAATAACAGAATGTGAGATTCAAGTCTCACCTTCTTTTCTTGTTTATTTGTTATTACAAAATTGTCACGTTTATAATAAACAATTAAAATTTTATTAAATGTTATCTTAATAATTATAATTTTGAAATGGCATACAGTATTTGAATATTATTTATGTTGCTTTGATGATTACGAGTTGAATTAGCATTATTTTAACTGCGAACGAGCGAAGCGAAGCGAATCTCTTTTTGAACATGACCACTTGTCCTATTAGTTATTATTTTTTTGTAATATCTTTGTAGCTTTTTCAGTAAATATTTATTTTTTGAGACTATTTTAATATTTGAATATATCAATGTGTTGTCGTACCGCTATATTATAAAGTATGACAAATAAATTTTAACAGCAATTTTTCATAAATATTTTATATAAATGTTTCTTTTTTTAAAAAATAGTATTTTGTTTTTTCTTAATTTGTTTGATATGCAATGCGTTGCAGTGTTAAGCGGAGATCTGGCGACTTTACTGAATGCAAGTTGAAAGAATGCTGAACATTTTGGATCGACTTGATAATTCCTTTATTATTAAAGTATTGATGGCGATTTTTTTCAGAGAGCAACGATGATATACGCACATTGAAACCGTGTAACACTTCGGAACTCACCGAGCAGTGTGGTAAAAACCAGAGGTGCAGTGTAGTCAGCAGTGGCAAACAGCTCTGCCAGTGCCAACGAGATTTTAATTTTGTTAATGGTGAATGCATTAGGGTTTCATCCACGACGAACGTCGACGTTACCACCCTCAAGCCAGAGCAGAGGTCCGAGTCAGGAGGTACGTGTACAGCAGGAAATGCAGTAATCTGCTGCTGCAGAACGTTTGTTTGTTCTTCATCGTAAACTTTATCATGAAAAAAAAAAAAATAGAGACACTAGTTCTTCTAACAATCGCTTTTATCATTTTTTGAAGATAAAACCCAATATCCGAATGTATGTATCAGCTATAGACTCGCCTCATGGGCGTCTTAACTCATGATTAGATAACACTATTTAGCTTGCCTATTATTCATTCACTGACGATAAAGAAACAGGAAGAAAAAAACGATTCTCAAAGTTAATCAGTAGCTAACGCTAACATGGTTAGCGAACTAAATTTTCAATCAATTTGATTTAGGTAGCTCCGTAGCCGCTGGTCTACTAATACCCACCTTCCTCATAGTAGTTGGTATACTACTGTACTTCGGGGCGAGACGGTACAAATGGCTACAACGATTTCGGCAGTATCGTCACAATCGTTATGGTAATGTCATAGTCACGAGAGATGACGATGATGACGACGATCCACCGATAGCGTAAAATGTAAGAGAGAAATTGTAAAGATGACACAGGCTGCGTGTTCCAAACAATCGAACTTGAATAGGTGCGGTGTATGCTTGTGTGTTGACAGAACGTACACAGTTACGAGGCTGTAGTGTGGACTTTGATACGGGAATACACACATATATATATATTCGGTTGGTGACGTTTGTTTTGATTCCTTTAGGAATCGTTACCACGTAATTCCGTGCAAGTATCAGCAGGGAAGTACATCTATTAGGTGCACAAGAGGCGAGAGACGAAAATGAATTACGAGGCCAAATGTAAAGATGCACTTGCGCGAGTAATTATGCTTTTATCATTAATCCGAAGATAGATTATATTAAACATCGATTATCAAATCAATGTCGAGGCATACAAACATTATATATGTATATATATATTTTATATAATTATATATAATGATTGTATAATTGCGTATATAATTGTGTAATAATTATATACTTACAATTTCAAGAAATAAAATATTTTTTAATAAAATTGTAACGTTTACTTTATCCATCGAAGTCATAAAAGCATTGTTACTCTCATGCTAGTTGCCGAATCTATATTTATATGTGATGTTGGTTAAGAAATATAAAGCATAATAGACTATATGTTTATGATAATTCTAAGCATTCACTGAGAGCATAATTTTTTACATTGATATTAAAATAAGCTGGTCAGTAAATCTTATGTATACTATTAATAGATGTATAATAATAAGGTGATCGTTTTTTTCATCACCATCCTCGCTATAGCTGGAATTTAGGAAAGTTATATTAAATGTTGTGTCATTATTGTGGATAGGAATAGGATTACGTCTATTCTCTTTTACAATAATATTCGCTAAAGTAATGTGATTAATATGCCGAAATTATCCTTTTTTAAATTTTCTTAAATTACGGCTAATTTTTTGATCTCTATAATAATAATTATTAAATTTAAGCATTGAGAAAGATATTTAAATTTAGGTATTTAATAGTTACTATAAATATTTTTTGCGATTTACAAATAACACAATCTTCTTCTATTGATCCATCACATTACTGATATAAAGTTAGGACAAATACCAAATAAACTATGTATTATTTTTATGTGGATCTAAATTAGTATTTACTTAAAACTGCATTAAATTTGGAATCGATTTATATACTAAAAAGATGTCTTGTTTTTTAAGCTCTTCGACATTTCTATAAATAATAAAATTTGTAAATACGATATTCAGGATTGCATACTCTTGCCAGCAACGATTTCTTCCTAATAATTTAATCTAATTGTGATGGAAAGATTTATTATCTATATATCATTTATGACACAAACGCGAGCTTTAGCTCGTAAAAGATTAATAAAATAAGCTTTCGAGAATTATACATATTATATACGTATCCTATTCTTGTACTCTATCATTTTGTACAGAATCTACATATTAGAGCCCGAAAAGATCGTAACAACTGTTCAGTGTATAGTAGTGACTTTGATCGCCGTCTAGATTTGATATTTTTATAGTTCGCGAGTACAAATTTGAGAACAGCGAGCGGTACTGGCGAATTACTATAATTGTATTAGTTTTAATACAGCGACAATTCACATTCATTATTGATCCAAAGTATGGCAAGTACTGTCTGCTCATTTGTTATTACGTCAGTGCATTTTAATATTTGACTGAATATCCTGTTACTGTTGTAGCCACGTTTATACAAAAATTCTAATAGATATTTGTTGAATATCGCTTTCTTATCAGGGCAGCACGTGTTTAAGTGTTTTCCTCCTCTTCCTGTTGAAGAACTAGATATTTACAACAATTTGTGTATTCGTGGTTCCGTTAAGTTGTCAATCATGTCTCTGTGATGTATTTTATGTTATGTGACTGAATTTTTGTTGTTGATCGATTGCATTTTCTCGGCACAATGAATGATCTAATTATGAAATATTTTCCCCGTGTAAATAATACATACTGTTGCTGATACCAATGTTTGATACAATTTTATTACTTTATATAGGACGTTTCTGAAAAATCTGATCAAATTTTGAGAATTTATTCTACTAACTTTTAGGGATAAAAAGTTGACATTGATGTATTTGAAAAACTTCAATTTTAAGATATAAGTTTTTTAAAATACCAATAATAAATTTTAAAAAACTTGATCGAAACATTTACTTTTCTCTTTTTTAAATATATAACTTTTGCGAATGACATCTTGCGTTGTGGCTGTATGTTCATTTCTATTAATGTTTATTTAAAAAATTTATTTTTCAATTTTTAATTCAGAAATTAAATTTACAATCATTATTTCGATGATAAGTAAATTTCAGATTTTTCAAAAACATCCTTTATATATATTGCACATTAACAGGCAGTGTATGTAGCAGCCTTATTTAAAGTCATTTGAAAACAATTGTCGCTTGGAATTTTAGTACGAAGTTATATTTGGTCGTCTGTACGATTTCTGAATTTCTTTACTCCACCTTGTAATATTTATGAATTTCTTATAATTAGAGGCAGATGATCCGTTGTGTAATTTATGTCATTTGTACTGTAAAGTACAAATAAAAATAAAGGTCTCCAAAAATCTGCAACCGAACATTTTCAAGTATTATTGCTATATTTCTGTATTACAGCCATCAAAATGTAAAGAGGGTCAATGAATAACAAGTAAGTATATTTTCTCACTCTTTTATATCATACGTAAATATATCGACATAGCTTTAAGACAAGATATACGCTCAGGAAGACTTATCCGCTAGTAATAGCTATCGAATTCGACGATAGAACTTAATGTATAATAATTTTTTCCATAGAGGACACATACTTTGAATCGTAATTTAATGAATGTATACAGCATATAGAGTTACACGATTATTTACAAGTTTGTTTATAATTAAGAAAAACGAAGATATTTTTTTAGCACCTCTGAAACTTTAGTGACGATTTCGATTTATGTGTGAATGACATTAATATTGCAAATTACATTGTTATTAGAATGTATCACGTTTTAAGTTTTATTATTGTAATCACGTTACTAGTTCAGAGGAAATGAGTCTATTATATGACATATGCTACAGCATTTGTGTAGTGCTACATCATTTTAAGTGGATCTAGTTATTCAGAATTTCTCTAGCGAAGATCTCAGAACGAGTTATCTGTGATCGATGTTACGTCAACATTAATCCTGCCTTTGCTTTTCATCGCAGCATGCGTGAATAAGTATCGATGAGTATCAGGATGATTAATATTTCATTGTTCTCCGTATCTGTGATTGTGTCGAATTGTAGTTTCTTTTCCAAAGGCGCGTGGCGTAGTGCCACTTCGCGACAATAAGCTATTGACAATAATCTCATTCTTTTTCCAATCTTTTAATTTGCAATAATAATTTATTGTCTCGAAATCCCGCGAGTTATTAATATCTAACTGAATCATCCGCAGATTATTTTCTACCCTCAGAGCGGTGCGACGAATACGTCGCGCGTTCTTTGGAATGAAAGACACTGATGATCTGATTGCAACAGGGCTAAAAATCGAACGCGATGGGTCTCCGTTCGTGGAAAGCCAGTTTCATAAAAGAACGCAGTGTTTCTCTCTCCCATGAAAGTGTCTTTCCTAAGTCGTTCGGTGGCAGTATACGTATAAATTAGTCGTTTAGCGCTCATTGAAGCAAGATGTACGCCTCGTGAAATCTCTCAAACACTTCCTCGTAACATTCGTAAACGGTGTATATCACGATGTATATCTCGATCGTTAGTACGTTGTATAATCTTGCCATGGTCTCTGCTGTCTGTATTGCGCTCCGCTGATCTGTATAGCCTCCGGCGTCCTGTAATACACCGTTCGACTCCGATCGTTATTACTGATACTCGGCAGGAACTGATTCGGAATGAACGATTTTTGTTGATGCTGCTGTTGCTGCTGTTGATTGATCGGCCTGGAGAGCTTGTAGTTATTCTCGGAAGGCTGTAACACGGTGTCTCTACCAAGCTGTCTGTGAAGAGGCAAGACGAATCCGCTCGGCAAATTAGCTTCCTGAACCAAGGTCGGCGTCAGGGCGTCATTCAGAGTAACATCGTACTCGCTCTCGGGAATATCTTGAAGACGATGCGTTACTTCGTTGATTCTTTGTTTTGCCCTGTAGCTACCTGGTCCCGATGGTAGATCCTGAATGTCCTCGTTCCTGTACGTAGAGCTGTAGATGGTTGGCGTAGTCTCGATGGAAGAAAGTCTCACCTTGCTGCGGATCGGAGAACCCGAGGATGTTTGCACGTTGCCGACATTCGCGTGTTTTTCGCTCGAATAATTCTCTATCCACTTAGGCGTTAGATTCTCGCTTTGATGGCTACGTGAATCATACGACTGATTCTGAGTGGAGTATCCTTTGGAGGAGTTCGATAAATCTTCTGGGTCTCTCGAGACCTCCTCTTCATTGTTCTTCTCTATTGGTTTTCGTAGCACTGGTCTGGATATCGCGCTATCATACTCTTCCTGACGTTGTTTTTTCTGAAGATCGCTTTGGACGGCTTTGTAAGCGTCATACGTTTGCTTATTATCCGGTCGCAAAGGTGATTCCTGATGGTTAATATTTCTATTATCTTCTTGTTCCTCTTGTACGTAATAATTCCTGTAGTCATTCTCGCCTAAAGTACCTCGATGATCAGTCGTTGTTTCTTCATCTCTTCTAGGCGAATGCGACGCTTTAGAGCCGACCGGTAATAATCCTCTCGGGTTGGGATTACCGCCTCGAGACGGTAGGAAAGGCCTCTTCACGATTCGAACGGTGGTTCGAGGCGGAGGAGGAGATGGTGGCTCTTCCAGTGGCTCGTCGTAATACTCGGAAGAGTACTCATCCGGATACGCGATTTGATGATTCTGTTCGTTTCTACTTTCCAGCTCTCTATCTTGGTAATCCACTTGCTGAGATGGTCTTTGGGATTTATCAGACAAATTTCTGTGATAATCCTCAGTATCGCTTACCACACGACCACTTTGAGTCTGAACAGGTCTAGCTGGTCGTTCCGGATAAGATGGCTTTTCCAATCGATCGGTCACCGCGTCTTTAGACTCTTCTTCAGGTTTACGAATAAGCTGTTCTGGTAAACAAGTCGTCGTAGTTGTTGTGGTAGTACTGGTTGTGGTGGTGGTCTTCTCGGTTGTTCGATCGTACGGGTTGGGTCTTTTGGATACTTCAGTGGTATCCAATAGATCTTTTGATCTCGAGGAGGATCGCGATCGTTCGGCTTCTCTCTCGCGATCGAGAACCCGTGACGAATACGGTCGTTCTTGTCTTTCGGAATCTTGCGACCTTCCTCGTGAATCACGATCTGAGGATCTCTCAGGACTGCGATCTTTTCCACGCTCGAGAGCTCGATCTCTATTTC